TGTTTATATAATAAATATTTTTTATAAATAAATACATATATTTTACTTTTCGGAATATGAGCCCAAACTAAGCAAAAGTTAATCAGCTTTAATGTAGCATATACATAGTAATGAAAACTGAACTAAATCTCCAGACTCTACTGCCTCTAAAATTTAAAAATAATTTCCAAAACATCAATTTGTAAAATAAATAACCTTAACTGATGCTAAGTCAATCCCTGCCTTAAAACAATCTTGTTTTCTATTACCCTAAATTTTGTAAAAGTGTATCTCAGTCAAAGCAAAAATCATAGACAATCTACAACAAAATCAACCAAAGTGTGACTTGTGGCACCCAGCAAAGACAAAGACAGACCAAAGGCAATTTTTCCATTTACGCAATTAATTGGTCGACTCGCTGGGCGGTCCACTAATAGATCAAGGGAAACAACAACAGCAACATCAAGAAGGTATTTTAAATGCGGATTAACATTTTGCCTATTGACTGATTAATATTTTACACACACACGCACACTCGAATCACCCACAACAAGTTTGGATTTTTTGAGAGGCCTTTTGACAAATGTGCTTAAGGTAAATGCTAATGGATTTTTGAAGTTCAAGAGTCAGTGGATTGTGACCTTATAAATGAGATCGATTAGAAGTCAATTACAAAAGGCGCGATGCTGCTCTCCCTCCCTCTCTCTCTCCATCTCTCTTCCTATCATTCTCTCTTTCACCTAAAAGGCTTTTTGATTATAAAAATTATGACTCATAAATTTAATTTTATGACTTCTTCGTTCACGGGCCAAGCAAAAAGAGCAGAAGGTGCCAAAATTATAGAGTTCGTGTGATGTAATTTTCTCACATAAGCCTAAAGAGCTTCTGCTGCTGGAGCAACTGTTTTGGGCCCAATTCTACAACCAATGGCAAATTGGGCAGAAGTACAGGAGTCTTGAAGCGTCGCTGTTGCACTTTAATCAGTTAAATGAACTGTTGAAAATTTGCCACATTTGCGGCATAATGATTTTAATGGACATGCCGGGGCCCAGCAGCAGCAACACGCGTCCTCTGTCGCCTGTTTAAACAATGAGCAGAGCAGCCCCGCAGGCAAAAGCCATTTGACACTAATGTGTTTTGGGGCTCGAAACGTTTGATTATCGCATCTCTGCGCATATTGGCATCGGCGCATTGGTCCAGCATGTCAAGGAACTCGGCCCTAAACACCGGCTAGCCAGCAGCTCTACACGATCATTACGATGGAGTACTCCCTCTCTTTCTCTCTCCCTTCCTCAAAGCCCCAAAACTTTTCATATGCAGTTATACGCCCGAGGGCTCTGTTGCAAGTCCTGTGAACTGTCAGCTCAATTTGTTCGGTTTTTGCCAGTTTTAATGTTTTATTTTTGCTTAACCTCGGCTGCATTTACATATTTTACATGTGCATATACATATACATCAACATACATACACATATTTGTGGCAGGGCAGACCCTGCCCTTGACCTTGTCTCTTGGGCCTTTGCTCATTCAGTTG